GGAAAGACTGACTCGTGTACCAACATCAATCAAAATGTCGACTTCCCTGGCAGCTCTCAACAGTAAGGCAGGTTCAAAGGTCACGGGATAAAGAAAAAGCCAAGCTCTGGTTCAGCTCTAATATCTCCTCCGTAGAAGTCTTGCAAAAGTACCCCCTTCTGTATTAGCGTGGCTTTCATTAATCTTCTTGCCATCTTCTTTAACTAGTCATGCAGAACCGCTCGATAGCAAGACGTATAATGGGGAAGGCCCTGTGCCTATTACCACGTTAACATTCTCTTAAGCCCCAGTGCAACAATGGAACGGGAAAGCAAAGGAAATCTGCGACTGCAGGGTGCGGTGTGGGCAATTCAATTACAGCCTGGGCTTACCTATGTACTTCTGACCCACAAAACACAAGAGGCCTTTGTGTCTAACTGGCTTGGCCATTAAGGTGAAGATCACAACAATGCTGATCTTTTCTTTTTAAGCTAAATCAATGTGGACAAATCATTATTCAGCAGCTTTAATTTAATTAGTAAATTAAATACACTACTTTACAGATCTTGTCAAGTACTTATGAAAAGAAAGATTCATTTAAGCAGGAGGTCACCAATAAGCCTAGCTAATTTAACTCACAGTCTTAACTGAATCTCATCTCAAATGCCCAGTAGGTCCTATTCACTAGGGCTAAACAGTCTCCCCAGAGTGGTTAACTTATAACTCTAAAGAGTTCCTATCTTGTGTCTAAACAGTGTTTTGGACAAAAACAAAACAAACAAAACAAATCCTCCAACATAACCAGCATCAACAGAATCAGATTTCCTTTAAATTATACTATTGCAAGAGAATGTAATCAGGTTAACTCTATTATGTTGCTTCCTTAAGATTTTATATCATCTATACTAAATTGAGATACAGAGCTCTTTTCAGCTATAAAGACGACAGCTACTTTATTAAGGTTTAAATCTGATTTCTTAATGATAGGCTGCTTCCTTTAAAGACTCTGAACCTGCACAGCTTCTCCTGATGAGAGCGGACTTGGCTCTGGTGAGTCTGGTATTTACACTGCCCAAGTGTCTGATGGGTATAAGTTTCACAGAAAGGCCCCTGGCTTTTGTTTCAGCCTGGAATTTGAGGCCAGACTTCAAAAGACAGCCTACAGCATCCAAAGCCTGTGTCTAGGCCTGTGTAAGGACAAAAAATGATTTCTCTAACACAATGTAACCAATGCACATGCTGTCTATATTCTTAAATCAGTCAAAAGAAATTAAAATTAATTCATCTTTTAAGAGGTTTGTGACATGCTTCAAAATAGCAAAGGATATCCGAAGGAGTGGTAAACAGACTGAGAAATCACTGATTTGAATAACAGTGGCAATATACTTTTTTCCTTAAATCTGGAAAGGCAGAAATTGTTCTTAATTTCTCAGGTATTATGATATACAGATTTTTCTGAGTTCTTTTAAGAGTTCATATTTAGATATACATTTTTTTTTTTTAAAAAAGGCATGTATCTATTTAGTCATTAAGTTCGAGGTCCTTAAACACTCACAGGGACAGAGCAATAAATCTTCCCTCCAAGAACCCAGCCTAAGAGGGAGGAGCGGCGGAGAAAGGAACAAGAGCCATAGAACTGGTATTTATGAAGTCTGGGCCTCTCTGATTCCACAATATATGTAATTATGTGTTTCACTGCAGGCGCTCTAATGCTCAGTCCCTCTGCCAAGTCAGCTATTCAAACACTTTTGGGATACGGCATCAATTAAACCTGAGTTGTGTTCCTTATGACGACCAAATTAATGGTTTGACAGCGGCTTTCTCAATAAACACTGCAAACTGGCCATATTCAAAGGGTTTAAAAACCATTTCTTTTCTGTTCAAAATTCTGACAAACATGTCTCAAGTAAGAGTAGGGACAACTTCATTATCCTCCCAACACTTAATGCCTTTTTGTAAAGAAGGCTGTTTAATAACACGTCTGCTCTGTTTTCACAACTAAATTATTCCAGTTGGTCACACGTTCCAGTCTTCAGCAAGACACTTGTGTTACAAGAGATAAAAACATGAAAAAGGAAATATATTGCAGAAATCAAAAACCTTATCTACTTCTAGACTCTCTCTTTTGCCATAATTCATTCAAGAAGGCCCTAAGAATAATTTTTGATGTAAACTCAGCTACAAACATACATCACTATGCTGATAAAAATCACAGGCTAAACTTATGAAATATAGTGACTTTCATTTCTTTAGTGCTGTTAAAATAACTTTTTCTAAGGTTCAAAAGACACAAAAGATAAAAAGGGTTACCATTAATCCTTTAAAAAAAAGAAAAAAAGAAGCAGCCCCACAGATTAATTCTGCGGTCTGATGATGGTCTGAGGATGAACTTTTTAGATTAAGTCACTGAATTAATTTGGTGAAGATACTGGAAACCCTAAAAACACATAGCATCAATCTGATTCATTCCATGCATCTTTGTTTGGGCGCATTACAGCATAAATTATGTTGAATAACTGGTGGTTTCTAAATTCTGGGCTTGTTCAGTTCAGTTCCAACTGAGTAAGCTGAGGCCACCTGTGCAGGCACAGTGCTAGGAACACAAGGTGGGCAGGGGCGCGGGGGCAGTCGGTTCAGTGGGGAGAGCACCGGCAGGTAATACAGTGTGTACACAGACTCCGGAAACTCCTGGGGAAAAGTGAACAGAGAGGGCCTGGCCCTGGAGCTGGCTTTTGAGAAATGAGCAGGCAAATAAGTAGCAATGTCCGGAAGTGAGAGGGCGGGCTGGTGGAAGGTATATTTCAGGAAGTGGAACAGCAGAAGGACAGAGTGCAGTGTATACAATCAGTTCACGGTGACTCGCCCAAATGTGAGCCGGACTTTTATTCTATAAGCCTACAAATCTTAAAAATATACATATTTAAGCAGCAGTAAAATCCTTTTATTTGTGAACTTAAATGAAGAATTCCAAGACAGAAAAAAGTAGAGCTCCTTTGGTTGAAGGGGAGCCTTATGTGTGTACGCACCCACACACTCCCCACACCCACACCCACACCCCTCAAGTCCCTAAAAAAAAAAGCCTTGAGCATGAAGTTTGAAAGCACTGCTGGAAGAGACAGGTACCAGGGACTCAGGAAATGTATGGGGCAGAGAGCCTGTTCATTTAGAAAAGTGTCATAATTTCCACATGTCTGGACACAGAGGAAGAGAGAAGAAAACCTCTGTAAGACCCATGTGCACAGTTTTTATATTGAACCATCCAGTAAACCTGAAAGTAAGACAAAAGACTCTTACGAGATTGTCAGTGCTGACATGGCAGGGCCTGAGTCTGCTCTGTACTCTCAACCATGGGAACCTGGCCTCCCGCACACAGATGTGTAATAATTACTTCTTGACCGACTGATCCCATGAGAGACGGGTGGTGGCCGGCTGGGTGTGCTGCATCCACCCTTCCCAATGCCCGAGTGCAGCTTTCTGTGACAAAGTGGGCAGCTGGCGGGGATGTGAGGGGCACCTAAAACCTGCCTCTGCGCTTCTCAACCCTTTCACCCAGCTATTCCCTCTGCACAACATGCGCGGATCACCTTTCACTCCTCAGAGAGAGGGAGAAGTTGCACAATGCCACTCTCCAAAGCATCCTCAGTTCAGAACAAAGTGAGCCTGACTGGCGGATGGGCTGGAGTGAGTGGAGTTGGGAAGATGATTCTCAAAGCAGAGGCAGCCCAGCAGCCTTGTACTCAGCCCAAAGCAGCAAGCGGTTTTCTCTTGGCCTCCTCTAGAGCCATGCTGTAGAGCTGGAGCCTCACTGGGACCATGGGGATGGTGGGAAGGGGTGGGATGGCCTTACTCCTTTTCTGGGCCCCTATGTGTAAGGCTGAGCCAAAAGCGGAATATGTAGCCCAGCACAGCTGGATGTGACAAACAAAACACCCACCCACAAATGGGCCTGTGGCGGTGCCCAGCCTGTGAGCCCCCAGCTCCTCACGCCCTACTTCAAGTAGTGTTACCTCAAAAACTTGAACCACATTATAAACACCTGCTGGCCCTCACACTTCTAGGTTGTCCCTTCTGAATATGTAATTCCTTGTAACACCTGCTCTCAAATTTTGTGGACAATGAACATACAGCATTAACAAAAATTAGATGCTCAAGTTACCAAATCACAAATTTACTGTGGTGGGCTTTGGGTAACTGAATTTTGAACAGATTCTACGTGTAATGCTGATAGGTATTAGAGTTTGAGAATACTCACATTCTTCTCTTATCTAGGAAACCAATAAAAGCCTTATACAGTTTTAAAATTTTTCCTCCATGGATGAATTTCAGTGTGACATATGTGTCCTTCATGTCCCTTGATAGGATAAGAAGTTGTAAAAGTAATTAACTGATTAATCTAGATACTATACTCAATTACTTAACTGCAAAAATATAATATGCTAAAACATACAACCAAACTTTGTCTACTTTGATAATTTAAGTGGAAGAATGCCAACCCAGTAGGGATCTCTTCTGTAGGAACAGGCAGGAGTTTAATTATGAGCTGATAGGTCACGCAGTTGCCAATAATCTGGGGGTGCTGACACTTCCGGCATGATAGATGCCCAAAACCCAGTCCTCAGCTGCCATGAGAAATCCCCCAGCTTCCTTGATCTGACATGGAAGGAAAGGAGATCCAGCTCTGATGGGCTAGGTCCCTCATACAGGAAGGAGACAGGAGCACAAAGTGAAACAAGGGCTCCTAGGAGTGTAGATTCTCAGCAGGAATCTGTTCCGGTGCCCCAGCCCCCAGGGAAGGGCAGTGAGGTTCTGTGCTGCCATCAAGACAGAGCAGGTTGGGGGCTCATGTCAGGCTCTGGGCACCATAATACAATCCCGTTTGATTAAAAGAAATTTCTGGTAATGAATTAAACAGATCCAAGGAAAAAAGGACACGGTGGCAATATATTCTCCTGGCACCCAGCACACAGAGAGGAAGAGAGGGGAAAGAGAGAAAGGAGACATAAATAAAAGGGACTACTCACTGGGGCTTTTTTCTTCAGCAAGGTCACAGGCACAGAGCAGGTCAGAATCGATTGAGATGGGTTTCTGCTTAATCCAAAACTTAGTGCTGGCTTTCTGATTCGTAACAGGGTCTATCTCGACTTTGTCTCCAGAGATACCTGTAAGGCCAAGGAGAGGACAAAAAAGCACAAGAAGTGAAAGCTGCAAGTGATTTCAATGTGCTCAGTTGGCCTACTTTCTATCCACTAAGCTCGATGAACGTGAACTCACTCTAGGGCTGAGGAATGCCAGGGACTCAGGACAGACAGAATCCAAGTGGCACACGAAAGACGGCTTCCCTGAGTGGCTGAGCTGTGGCGGGCTAATAACCCAAAACTATATGAAAAGGTACTGAGAAAAGTGGTTTCTTAGACACAACATTGATGCAAAAGAGAATTTACATACAGGTTGGTAACTACATAGACTGTACCGTGTAATGAAATAAACTATAATACAGTCATTTAAAAATGGTTTTGATAAGTTTTTTCCCCCTTTTCTTAAGAAGATCTGGGATGGAAGATTAGCATCACTTGCTAAACAGTGAAGCTACCAGTGAAGAGCTTCTTTTTTGAAAAAATTGTACATACTAAAAATAGGGGAAAAAGCTCTCTTCTCTTCCACGACACTAAATAATTATGCAAGTTATATGTAAGGAACGTCACAGGAAGATCAAAGGGTCTGTTACACAGAACCTTTCAAGTTCAAGTCTTGGAGCTCAGCTTTGGGCTATGGAAGTCACTGCTTTTCTGCTGAGGGAGACTCAGACCTGGGCGTGAGCTTTATGCAACAGAGACTGCAGGGCAGGAAGCCAGAATGTTAAATTCCAACACTTCAGGTTTATTTTCAGGGTCATGAAAGACACAGCATGCCACAGTGTGACTGGGAGCAGAGCAGAGGCAGTACCAGGCCTTGGGGGGGACTTTGGGGTGGGTGTGGACTCGCACAGCAATGCTCTCTGGGCATTTCAGAGAAGCACTTGCTCATCTGACAATGTGTAGCCCAACTGTGCTATTTTCCCTCTTTTGCTGAAAACTGAGGAATCTGTTTGTGAAGTGAGACAAAAATCTCTGCTATGCCTTCTGGAGTGAGCCTCATATGGAACCTTAAAAGTAATTAATTTTTAGGCCATAGTTTAAAGGTTAGGGTCAAAGTTTAAAAAAAAAAAAGGCAAAGTGAAATGAAGATACAAGATGATTAAAATAATAAAATATACATGAATTGTATATTTTTGTAACAGAAAAGGTAAGCAGGGTTAGCATATTTCATCCTACAGATCACATGTAGAAATTTTTGAACAAATGTGAAAAAAACTTAGTAGGCCAAAAGAAGCAGAAAAAAATAACAGTTCAATTAATGCCCCCCTCCAAAACAAAACAAAACAAAACAAAAAACCCACAGACACAAAGCCATGGATTCACAGTAAATTTAAAATTAAAAATGTAAACACAAGCCTAGTGGTTTGGTCTGCTACACACTGAACTCATTTGTTTTATTTATGGGTAGATTAATTCCAAATCCAAGGCAGACAAAGGCAGAAAGAAGCCTGTGTGCAGACAGACGCAAGCAGACTGTCTCCAGGGCAGACAATGCAGTGAGGGCTGCTAAACCCTGCTCATCACGTGTGGACTCTGGGAAAGAGGTACAACTGTGTGTGTTTTTTAAAAACTTAATTTTTATTTTTTTACTTTTATTAGTTATATGTGTGTATGTGTGTGTGTTTAAGTGAATGCTGGGATTTGTCATTAGATATGTTTGAGGAACGTCATATTTCCATTAGGCATAGTGTCTTAAGTCCAACTGACTCTGGACTCTCAGGTCTACATGATAGCAGGAGGGTGAGAATATATCAGCAGACCAATTTCATTACATTTCACTTAAAACAGATTACAATTGCCCAGTTGCACTTATGCCTCCAATTTGGCCATTAATTGTTAAAGATCTGGACACTGCTACAGTTCTCTGGAAGAAAAAGTACATAAGCCATTGTCGTTGGTTAATGTGTGTACACATACTTCCCCTCTTCATCCTGCTTCTTATTTTGACATTTATAAAAGTCAGAACGAGTAGAACAAAATAAATGTGCATATCTCTTATGTGGAAATAAACTGTGCCCCACATTCCTTTTTCAGAGAGAGAGAGAGAGAGAGAGAGAGAGAGAGTGTTTAAAATTTTGTTCTATGGCCCTGTAACTCCTGAAGCTGTAGACAGTCAATATTGTTAATGTACCTTGTTAATTTGATAGGATTTGTCAGGTAACTCCACTGGAAAATTATATAAAACTGTTCCAGATGAAAAGATGATAGTGACATGAATTAAAGTGATAGAACAATAGTGGAATATAAACCAGAAATGACACCCAAAGTGGCTGTTGATTTATTGCCGTACTGAGTTTGGTTCTGGGCTCCCATGTATATTAGTGCTACAAATCTGGGTCCATTTAGCAGAGGGTTGCTCATACATACATCACCAGCTCCTGCGCCAAGCCAAGGTCACTCCCCGTGGCATCAATCTTTTCAACAGAGCCCACTTCACAAAGCAGGACTTTCGCAACCATCTCAGATGTAACAGACTCCCGTCCTCTTTCATCTTTCTTTTATCATGTAAAGTACACTTTAACTTCTATTATTTTTTATCTGTAAATTGTTACTGTATAGTTCATCCATTATGGACTGTATCTCTGCATCAGCACAGCCTCAAGAACACTTTCCCAAAGACGCCCTGTCCTGGGGTGACTGCGCAGCCACCGTGCACAGAGGGGGACCCCAAGACTGGGACCTGGGAATGGAGAGGCAGGAGATGGATGCAGTAGGTTCAAGTCACCAGACAGGTGCAATACTGTTCAAGCAATTGATGCGTTCCACAAAAGATCCAGGTAAATCACATTTTTTTTTCCTGAATCAAATCACATTTTCCCACTGACTTGTAGTTCCAGTGACACTTTATCTTCATTTTGGATTGATCTGTAATTGGCAGGGGCTCCCAATACTTCAGTTTTAAGTTTTTCTGCCCTGCACGCTTTCAGTCAAGTAGTTAATGATCTGTAAAACTCTCAACTGCCTCGAGGAGTCACTATTTAAAGGAACCTATAGGGGAATCTTTCCTGATGGGAAGAATCCGCTGTACAGGAAATAATCTCACTTCCCTTCAGATTGCTACCTACACCTACGTGAGTCTCAGCTTCTCAGAACTGAGCACTCTGCCCCCACAGGGCCCTATCTGCGCCTGCTGGACAAGCAGCACACAGCCGGGGTGGCTCTCCACAAGCTCACTCTGCCGAGCTGTGCAGAAAGGAAGTCCTAGAGTCCAGCCTGGAGCCAAAAGGAGAACTTTCTCATTCTAGCCTGAGAGCTCTTGTTCTTCTTTTGTCTGGAAGAAAGATTAGGAGGCTACACCACACAGTCCAGGCCAAGGACAGGGACTCTAGGGGAGGAGGAGGCCAGAGAAGCCAGGCTGGTGAAGGTCTCAGTGGGGAGGTGAAGCAGTGTGACCACAACCCACCTGTCACTGCTGCCTCTGGACCACTAAGGGCAGGGGTGGGCTAAGGGGACAGGGGATGAGCCAGGGGCCAGAAGCAGCACTGCCTCCTGTGACAACAGAGCACTGAGAAGAGCACTGCTGAAGACATGGTTCTCGTGGTTCTTTTCCTCAAGGCCAAGGCCCAGGACTGAGCAAAGCTGCGACCCTGGTAGGCTCTCTGCTGTCCTCCTTCAGCAGGCTCCCGAGGGGAACTGAGGAACTGAGGAATCAGCGAATGAGCGGGACAGGCAGGACACTAACTACAGACACCACTCATAAAGGGCCGGCAGTGCTTTGACACAATCAACATCCACTGGCACCACCTACGTGCCAGCAAGGCTAAGGGCCACTGTGAGCCCTGATGCAAATTTCCCATTAACACTATCACGTTGGTGATTATGTTCATCCTTATTTTATAGGCGAGGAAACACAAACACAAGAAGGTTAAGTAACTTGCCCAAGAACAGCTAGCACCTAAGTGGCAAAGCTGGACTCTGAACCCAGGAAGTCTGGTCCCAGAACCTGTCTTCTCAGCCCCTGTCCAGGTGTCGTGTATAACATGCCCTGCAAGAGGGGAGGATGCTTGTCTCAGGTCAGGAGCTGCGAACAGGGAGAGCATTTCGCAGATCGAGGTCTGTCAGGCTCCCAAGTCCTGGCACCATGTGGCCTATCTACTGGAGCGAGGAAGGCCTCATTAGTGAGATTGCCAAAGTGGTCTTCAGACTTCTCTCTCAATTTCCACCGAGGAACCAGTCAGCGTTCAGGTGTGCCAACAGACACACACATCTATTTCTGCTCACACGCAGCAAACCAGAATAGGAAATCCAGTCAGTATTCTTCCTTTTGACCACTATGCATGGTTTTCCTAGGCTAACATTTTCATGTGAAGTTCTTGAAGGAAAGACAGAGGCACTCCTAAAGTGTCATTTATGCACTATTTTAAGTAACTCAAATTATAAATGTATTTCTGAGAAAGTAAGGAAGCCCACTTATTACATCTACATTCACATCAAATGGCCAACAAGAGAGGAACAGTTAATCCAGCCATCACGGCATACAACATAACCAGGAAAAATTATGCATAAGAAAAGTGTGGGCATGCGCCAAATCAGCCAAGTCCTAGCTCCTGAGAGGCTGATGCAGGAGGATTGTGAGTTCAATGCCAGCCTGGACTACATAGTGAGAAATGTCTATAAAAACTACAAAGCCTTACTTAGAAAAATAAATATATATATATTTGCCGCTGGGCTGAGGATCAAACCCAGGGTCTTGTGCATGCCGGGCAAGCACAGTACCACTGAGCTGCATCCCCAGACCAACAATCATCATTTACAAAGTTGACAGGTTTTTAGCTTCCCCTTCAGAACTCAGTTCCCTTTCCCAGTTTTTAAAATGTGCAGAGGATGAGCATTTGAATTCTGTGATTGACAATCATGAAAAGGGACCCCGGGTTGACAAACACTTTTGTCTAGCAATTCTCAAGCACCAAGAGGCTGACGGGCTGCTGGGAGGGGCTCCTGCGAGGTACCCAACCTGGTGCCACTGTTAAACATGATGCCCAGCAGGCTTCCCTCTATCAGCCCTGGCAGGTGAGGAAGAAGAG